AAGCCGAGTCCCGCGGGGCCCAGCCAGAGGGGCCAGGATGTGCGCTCTTACTGTTCGGTTTAAATCAATACTACGATGCAAAATACTGTGGGGAGAAAACTGGGCAGGGGGAGGGTGGTGGCGTGAACCCCAGTTTGAGAAAACCTGGCACTGCCCACCTCTCCAGCCCCGTCCCTCCTCCCTCCCCCCCAGCCCTCGGGTTACCTTTGAGTGCTTCCCATGTGCCACGCTCCCTCCTACCTCAAGGCTCTGAATACCTGTCCGCTCGGCCTGGAACGGGCTTTCTAGCTTCAAATGTGTTTACATTTTCCTTCCCCAGAGGACGCTTGCCTGAGATCCAGGGCAAAGTGGGCTCCTCAAGTTACACTCTCATGGTGGCACTGTGGGTTTTCTTCACAACCCCGCCCCCCATGTCCAGCTAGTGCCCGGCCAACAGGGGGCGCCCAGTCAATGCTGAACGGATGAATGGATGAAGGGAACTGTGTCCTGCAGCTCAGCTGTAATGAGAAATGACTCAGAGGTTCTGGTTTCAAGTCCTGCCACATTTTAACTCTGTGAACTGAGTGATGACACTGACTTCTCAGCCTCACCTGCCTCCTCTGTACCAAGGGCGCTCCGCACACTGGCACCGACCCAGCAAGCTCTCCCCCGCACTCTCTGTGCCTTCGCACAGGTGCCTGCCGCGGGGCCACAGGGCTGCTGGAGGGGACACCCGGGGAGACACACAGAGAGAGCGTACTGGGGGCTGGTGGAACGCGTGACGCACAGTGAGCCACAGATGCACGTCACACACATCACTAAAACCGTTCCAGTAGTCACATGTTGAGAAGTCAAAAGAAACCGATAAAATTAAAAATATATTTTACTTAATTCAATATACCCAAAATATTCACATTCCAACATGGAATCAATAGGAAAATGAAAGCATTCTTTACAGCCCATCGTTGTAGTACGTCTCTGAAATTCACTGTGAATTTTACACGTCCTGCGCGTCCTACTTTGGCCAAGCCACTCTTCAATTACTAGTCACCATGGCTGGGGGCCACCTGGGCCTCACAGATAGAGCTGTGGTCATAATCAGGGTGGAGCATTTGCCAAGAATTCATTCATCGGTGCTGTGCTCTCCCATCAAGAGGCATACACTGTGTGCTTTTCTCTCTTTTTGTGACGCGAGCAGCCACGGATGATCACTGTCCCAGAGGCATGAATTCATAGCAGGTGCCAGGTGCTGACAGTCTCACTCTACTAGCCCTTCCAAATCTTTTCACTTGGAATATTTCTGTAAGAGAAACTTCCCCTCATCAACCGACAGGTTAACTAGTGTGCGCAATGCGTGCAGGGAAGGTAAGTCAACGGTTGATCTCCCTTTACCCACAGCTCTCAGGGTTACAGCTGTCGGGGACGGGTCGCCATGCTTGCTGCAGGGAGCCAGGGGAGGAGGTGACTCCAATCCAGGTGGCAACCCCAGCCATGGTGAACCCCCGGGCAGCCAGCCAATCCTCTCCCCTAGACCCCAGGAACTTCCTTCAAAAGGCCTGAGAAGCCCCAGCCGCCCCAGTGGTACCCCAGGTGCTTCACAACAAGTAGTGAGAAGGAGGCTCCGCCCCTGTCCTGCCAGGCTCTGGGCACCGGGGCAGCCTGAGGCCGGTTTTGAGGAAGGAACACAATGAACCCCTGGAGCAGGAGGAGTCTCTGTCCCGGCCTCAGGAGAAACCTAAGCCCCGGCTGAGGAGGAGGGCACAGGCCCAGAGAGGCCAAGCGCCTTGCCCGGGTCACACAGCCAGTGAGCGGCAGGGCAGGGCTCAGCCCCGCCTGGCTGTCTTCAGGCTGAGGGCCCAGACTGCTTCCTTCCTGCCTGCTCGTAGGCGCTTCTCAGAGTCAGGTGAGCCCTTATCTCTGTCCACTCCCACTCTCCATTCCTTCCGGATGTGCTGCTTGTGACCTAGTGGGGACGGTGAGAAGCCCCTTTGTACAAAACCAGAGGGATCTGAGCCTGTGCTCTCCCCTTGGCGTTCTGGGCCGGGGGCCTGGCTGGCTGCAGCGATTGCACTCCGGCTGCATTTTTCTCATTTTTATCTCATGCACGGCTGCTCTTTTTCTGGATTGCTGACACTGCCAGTCTCTACAAAGTGTGGAATTATTTTATAGACATGTATTTTTTATTCATTTAAAATCCACAAGGCTGAGCTGTCTACCTACAAAACTGTAATTAGATGCGCTAAGAGGAAAAGGAAAAAAATAAAAAGGGCTTCTATCTACTTGACGTGAAATTAAGCGCTCTGGGCACCAGTTCAGCAATCAGCGAGGCGGCCGGAAGCTGAGAGAGAACATTTCTGGGTGAGGTGGGCCTAAATAAGTCCACCTGCCAGGGGTTAAGATGAAAATTAAGCTCATGAGGCCTCTGGGCTGAGTCTCAACACTGTGTCCATGCCACCCACCCAAACACCTGAAACACTTGACATTTGTTTAGAGCAGGGGCGGGCAAACTTTTTGACTCAAGGGCCACAATGGGTTCTTAAACTGGACCGGAGGGCCGGAACAAAAGCATGGATGGAGTGTTTGTGTGAACTAATATAAATTCAAAGTGAACATCATTACATAAAAGGGTACGGTCTTTTTTTTTTTTAGTTTCATTCATTTCAAATGGGCCGGATCCAGCCTGCAGGCAGTAGTTTGCCCACGGCTGGCTCTAGCCTCAGGGTGGCTGCCAGTCATAATTCAGGTCTAAGCAGGTTACTCTTCTGCCCTCAAGCCTGGGAGGGGCACCTGAGTTGCCCACTGCATGCATTCAGATTTCTTGACTTGGCACCTAAGTCCTTCCCATGGGCCTGCAATTCAACTTCTCCTCTCACCCTTCTTCACATCTGCTCAGACCCCACGCACAGCAAACTTCTTGCTGCTCTGCAAACACACAAGACCCGCCTTGCCTCTGGGCCTTTGCCACACGGTCCCCTCCATCTGTGATGTGAAATCTTACATAGCTTTCCATCTGCATTACCCTCCAGGAACCTTTCCTGATCCCTGAGTCAGAGTGGCTTTCTCTGCACCCCACAGGACGGCCGCATATCCCTCAGCATATAATTAATCACACTGAATTATAATTGTTAATAGAACTACCTCCCCCTTCCACTGGAGAATGTGGCAGAGGTTAAGGCTTATTAATCTTTGTATTAACCTTGTTTAGCCAGAGAGAGAGAGAGAGAGAGAGAGAGAGAGAGAGAGAGAGAGAGAGAGAGAGAGCGCTAGTTAGTTTAATAAATGTGGAATGGCTGGCTGACTGAGAACAAGGTCTTCATACTTAACTCAGCTTCAATATGAAATTCAAAACAATGAAGAAAACATGACTCAAACATAGCAGGGAAATAACATACACTTTTACTCTCAAAATAAATACTAATCAATTTTATTTTATAAATACAGATGCTGAGTTTTCTTCCAATTACCAACAGATCAGTTTCACATGCCATTTATTATTGGTGGTGGCTTAAAAAATTATTTAAATAACCGGCTAGGTCAGGATAAATGGGCACCATTAGAACTGCTAAAAAAATATAGCTGGATACAATCTTCCAAAACTAATATTCTGAGGGGGGGAAAAAATCTCTGGAATTTCTAAAGTGGGTAAGAGGAAGTGGAGAGAGAAAACACAATCAAATATCCATTTGATAACATTTGCTGGCTGTTAAAAGTGTCTCAGTTACATGAAAGCTGTAAGGGCTCTTAGTCGTGCAGAATTGGATAGTGGTGAGCTTTCACTTCAACGTCTAGCCATCCTTGAAGCAAACTTGATGTTTTAGTGATTTACAAGACTAGAAAGATTAGTAGATGATAACTCATCCCATCCTTTGGCTATGGACACTTTAGAGGCAAAACAAATTCTGCAGCATTGGAAGACGTTGGAACAGTTATTTCTGGAGACACGGAATACTGCAGGTTCTACCCAGGTCATGGCAGAAACTGCAGACATCAAAACTACTCAAATGAAAACACAAAATGCAAACTAAACAAACCCAAACCTAGGTGGTGTTTTCAGGCATAACATCATTGGACCCTGTGGATCAAGCAAATGTACAGGTAACCACTGATCGGCTCTGAGCAATCTAATCACACTCATGGCTCTGACGGGGGGTGAAACGTAGTGAACCCAGGAATCAGGTAGTCACAAACGACAGTCGGGTGGATGGAGCCCCAGCTCCGTCTGGTCGCGTGGAACCCGAGATGAACACGGGACAGGGGTTCTGAGGGGGGCCCTCTGCGTGGTGCTGCCAGGAGTGCTGCCAGGGCCTGTAGAGGACACACCTTGTCTCTGAGTTTGGCATAGTTTAAAGTCCACTCCCATATCTTGGAAAATCACAATCACATGTGATTCACTCACACAGTCCATTGTTTAATTCTCTCACAGTCCTTCAAAACCTATTTTTTTTTTTGGGGGGGGGTGTATTGTTACTTCATTGGAGGAGCCCACAGACCAGTCTGACGTATACCTAGACTGTGTCTATCTCCACCCTCTTTGATTCTAAAACGAATGACAGTACAGTGCAAAGAAGCTGAGCCTCTACAGATGGCTTCTACTCCAGCTTTGGAATAGCCTACCTTTTTATGTGGACTTCATACGGACTTCTTGAGATCGAGTTAAAGCTTTTAATTGCTTGCGAGCTGGGTCTGTCTGTCATGCAATGATTCTGTGAGTTCCCTTTACATGGAAAACAACAACATGAGCTATTCCATTTCAAATGTGGCTATAAATTAAAATCGAGCCCAGGAATGCTTGGAAAAAATATGAAAATGATTATGAAACCTATGAGTTAAGATGTTATGTAGGACACATGCTACTAGCGAGTACACCAGTGAAGGTGTTTGTGTTGCTATAACAACAGGTAAATTCAAATGAAGTCAACACATTAGCTTAGATACAGCCCTAGTTTTGTTCGGGCTGGTCCTATCTCGACGAAATGCATGGAGATGTAGTTTCAAGAGGAATTCGAAGCTGGGAAAAAAAATCAGGTCGAGTGAAGTACACTCAATGTTTATTCTTCTATGCAATACATGGATACACGGATAAATTTTCCTTAAAGAACTTGCAACCCTGAGGCGATGTCCTTGGGTAAATAAAGTGTAAAGCAATAGCAAACGAAATTTGAGCTCCAGGAATGACAGTTGGACTTCAAAAACATAATTTAATATTTATGCAATTGCACACATATCAATAGTATTCTATGCCTCATCTAGTATTAGTCCGACAACCTCAACTGCCTTGCAGTTTGCACATTGGACGGCCTGACTCTCTACGTATACTTCATCACATACAATGTCTTCCAACTGAAATGTAATAAATTAACATGGGCTGTACACAAGCGGATTTTGTCTGGTGAGTGCACTGCCAGGAAGCGCCTAGTTTTGATTGCAGCATCTGCCCACATAAACACTCTGGCCCTCAAAGAGGATTGGATGCCATTTGATTATACAACCTTGGGGTCCTCAAGGGTCCCTGGGATCCACCGAATTTGAGGGCTACCTCAAAGCCATGGCTGATCAGAGGAGGTGGAAGGTCAGAGCTACTGCATTAAAGAGCCCGTGAATCTGATGTCCTTTTTTCAGGGTGCACAATGCATCCACTGTGAAATGGGGCAACAGTGGAGTCTCTCGGTTGCCTGTGAGGCATGGGGGCAAGGGGAGGGGCATATGCGCCTGGGTCTAAGGAGACTATTGTGCTTCTTATTCATCAGCCTAATGAATGGCCAAAGATCCTTCAGTAAATGGTAGAAATCTTTTTCTAAATATTCAATTTTTCCCAAAGTTTTATAAACTGGTGAGGGCAAATGCTTGAGAAACTAAAGGTGAGTTCATTATATTCTTTATATATATTATCATCTTCCCTCTGGGGATAACATAGAAGAGCAAATAAAAAAGCAGACGAATACCTATAAGGTGACTCAAGCTAGAGAGTGACTTTTGCCTTCAAACAACGGTCAGGCCTGTAAAGCCCATCTTGCAAGCAAAACCTAACTTCGTCTGGCCCACTGATACACAATGATCCTGAGTCCCTCCTCTGTTCACAAAGTCTATTTTCCCGAGGAATATCCTCCATTAATATTTATTTTGTGTCATAATTATTACAAAGGGTAACCAGTGCAGCTTCATCCTCATTTTAGGCAGTAGCCCCATCCTGGACCTACTGTCTGTCTGCTCGCTTCACTTATCAGAGCTCCTGCGTGGCCGGCGGAAGCTGGATACGTTTTCGTTCAGTGCATAGATCCTTCGGGAGAACTCTTCAAATTCTCCCAGAACTTGTTCGTCACACTCCACTGCCACAGCACTGTCCACCGGGATGCAGTTAAACGCTTCTAGCTGGTCACTGGAGGTGAAACCCGTGGCTTCCATCCCAATGATCTCTTCCGCTTGCTCCACGGCACAGCAGAGCTCAGCTTCTGAGCCGGCGTGGAACTCACCCGGGAGCTGGGCGCTGGCGGGGCCGGCCTGCTCGCTGGGTAGGAGAGAGCCATTCACCGTGGCTGGATGCCCAGGGAGGGCTTCTCCTTGTTCTTGGCCAGTGTTTACACTCACGGGGCCCACGTTTAAGCTGTTGCCCAAATCGACTCCCGTTTTCTGGTTTTCTTTGGAGAAGTCCAAGGAGGTATCCAAGGAGGAGGACAGAGTTGTTGTCTTTCTCTCAGACTCTCCCAGGGAGGGGGTGGTGGGCCCAGGCTGGGCTACTGCGGAGTTGTAGCTGGGAGGAGGGGTCCTGTAGTGGAGTCTCTCGTTCTCTGAGCTGGCCCGTTTTCGGTGTCCTTTGTCTGGCGAAGGAATGCCCCCAGAGAAGCCTCCATCTGCACCCCCAAATATGGAGCTTTGTCTCTTTGGAACAGGGATCGCACTGGAGGTGTGATGTCTGTCGCTAGAAGATAAACAAAAAGGAGAAGTTAACTTCCAACTTCAGAACTAAGTTTAAGCCTTCTGGATCCAGACAGGAAATAGCATGCTTAGGTCTGAGTTAATAAAAATGGATAATAATTATTCTTAGTACAAACTGTAGTGCCCGAAGGGAAGAAACAACCCAAAGCATTCTGAGTTCAACTTTGGGAGCTTCCTTCAAGAAGGATCAAGACATAATGAAATATATCCAGAGGAGGACACCCAGGGTAGGATGGGGGATAGAAACCATGTCATACGGGGAAGAGTTTCAGTCACTGGAGGGATTGGATCTAGAAAGAACAATATATAAAGGATGCAACCAACTTTACACATCTGAAGGGCTATCCATATTCTTGTTCTTTCTTTTTTTTTTTTTTTAATATATTTTATTGATTTTTCACAGAGAGGAAGGGAGAGAGATAGAGAGCTAGAAACATCGATGAGAGTGAAACATCGATCAGCTGCCTCCTGCACATCTCCCACAGGGGATGTGCCCGCAACCCAAGTACATGCCCTTGACCGGAATCGAACCTGGGACCCTTCAGTCCGCAAGCCAACGCTCTATCCGCTGAGCCAAACCGGTTTCGGCTTGTTCTTTCTTTTTAAAAACATATTTTTATTGATTTCAGAGAGTAAAGGCGAAGGAGGGGAGGAGAGAAGGAAGGAGGGAGGGAGGGAGGCAGAGGGGGAGGAGAGAGAGGGAGGGAGGGAGAGGGAGAGGGAGGGGGAGAGGGAGACGGAGAGAGAGAGAGAGAGATCAGTGGTGAGAGAGAATCATTGATTGGCTGCCTCCTGCACACCCCGCACTGAGCCAGCAACTTGGGCATGTGCCCTGACTGGGAATTGAACCCTGACCTCCTGGTTCATAGGTCGATGCTCAACCACTAAGCTGTGCCAGCTGGGCCATATTCTTATTCTTGTTTTTCATATTCAACTTATTTTATCTTCATAAAGCAGGTATCCTTATTTGTCAGAGAAGTTTAGTGACTTGCTCATGGTACCGCAGTGAAGCCATGGCAAGGCTAGACCAGAACTCGTGACTCTTGATGTGATGATCAATAGCTTTTCCAATACCCAAATGTTAATCACCTTGGATTAGAGAACTGACAGAGAGAGGATCAAGGATATACATATATTTTAATGAAAATTTAATCTGGGAAACGACTTCTCCTTTACAAGCTGGTCACACACGTTTTATAAGTTTGGCCTTAAGTGCCTTCTTTCAGACTTGAGTTACTTCTCAGGAAGATACTTCGGGCCAGCAATAATAATCACTCTAAGCGATACAAGTTTTAGTTTCTAAAGTAATTTCATACACATCATTTCACTTGGTCCTCACAAAAACCCTGTCAAGAAAGCAGAGTATACATTACTGCTCTTAAGTCCGAAATAATAAATAACAATTAGTTAATGGAAAGAGAGTATTCAGACCCTGGAAATAATGGTCATGTTATACACTGTGCTAGTAAAACCACCCTAGAGGACTGATCACAATTCTTGATATTATACTTGGATGAAGCTAGTCAGCTTCAATATAACTATAGGAACAGACTGGGTCCAGAGACAGAGGGAGGCAGAAACACAGGACCCATTAGACGCGTGTGTTCTGCAGGTGAGGAAACACACACACACCGAGGCTGTTTGCACAAGGGCAACGAGCAGGCAGGAGCAGAGGCTAGACTTGAGACTCTACCCGCCTAACAAACAGCTGCTCCATGTGCCCGGCCTGGGGGACGGGAAACAAATGCAAGACGGGGCAGGCCCTGCCTCTGAGGAGCTTCCGAGCTTGTAGGAGAGAGCCATCCACGGTTACTGAATAAAACACTTCCAACTCACAATAGTGATGTGTCTTGAAAAAGAAGGAAGGAGCGAGGGTTCCTTCTACCTGTGTCCACAGCCACAAGCCCTTGAACCAGCTCCCTGCTCCTTCCCTGTTTGTTTGTGTGTTTTTTTTTTTCCTGATGCTGGATTATCCCTGTGATCTCAGACACCTAAGCAAGGCTGATTCTTCTTGAGAAAAGGCAACCACAAGGCTGCTAATCCCCAGGTCCGTCAGATAACCTTGTTTGGCTCTAAGTGTTGGTGCCAGGAGAGATTTCATAATTAGGGGTGGCCTGCGGGGTGCATAGACCCGGGCAAGCACACCGGTAAATTACTGTTTTTAGTTCTCAAGAAAAACAGAGCAGAACCTGCTGGCCTTAATCTAGGTTTTCAGTTAATATGTTGTCAAAACTCCCAGAAACTGGGCAAGCCGCACATTTTTGCGAACCTTGTAGTTTTCACTCTCCCACTTGTCGACTGTCCCTCTCCAAGTGATTTTGCAGGAAGCCTAGGCAATCAAACCGAAACTGAGCATCAGCACTACCCACCGTCTGTTCCCACCCCGGCCGAGGAGGCGTGGGAAGCACCAGGTGAACCGGCCTGGGACAGGGAGGTGACAGTGTGGCATGGATCTAGACGCCTGGTGCTTTACACTCTCGGTTATGAAGGGTGAATGCCATGACACCTCCCCTGCCGCCAACGCCTCCCCTCTCCCCACCCCAGCCTGCTCTGCTTCCCTCCTAGGCTGATGAAAGGCAGAGCATGAGAAATGGACCAGGGTGCAGCAGCAGTGCTTATGGCACAGAGGACAGGGGTTTTGTAGTCCTCTAGGGCAGTGGTCGCCAACCGGTGGACCGTGAGGTCCGAAAGGTTGGAGACCGCTGCTCTAGGGTTCTGAGACTCCCTGAAGGCTCTCCTCAACGTTGCACAACAGAAAAGTAGTAAAGTGTGACATCCCTCCTGGCAACTACACTGGGAAGGGAACTCCCATTTTCCTGAGCATCCATAATGTTGAACCCTCACATCTACCCTGTGAAAAAGGCAGGCGGGTGAGTGGGTTCTGTGGTTTAAGGTGTAGAACGAGATTCAGTCTGACTCTAGAACCCGCACAGTCTGTCTCATCCCAAAATTTGAATCATATTCAAATTCAACCAACATTTGCTAAAAGCCAATGATACGCCAGACTTCAAGCTACCAGTACACGCCATTCTACAGGCCTTTTCATTGAATTTGTCCAACCTACTAGTATATCTAAGTTCTGGGGTATTATTCCCATTTTAAAGGGTGTATTCTTAGGCTTTTGAGAGGTAGAGACTGATATTTTCTGATATCCTGATTTTATGATATTCTTCTCCTGTTTCCTTGGATTTTTATGAGAATCCAGGTAACGATAGCTTGAGATACAATTTGGAAAACTCTAGTAACAGTAAAATGTTCCCTCTTAATAAGGGCAAGGAAATGCATTATTATGGACAGGCAATAAAGAAGTCTACATGTCTAAAGTTTACCCTTTAGTCGCCACATTTGTCTTTTTAATCATTTTTAGCCATGTGCAATAAAACCTTTCCAAATTTTTATTAAAGTATTTCTTATAATCTTAAAAAGAGTAAGCTGAACAAAAGGGTGTCTTCTTTGTTTAAGTGATTTTTACAGAGAGGGGAGGAGGAAGGAGACGGGTAGGGGGAGGGAGAGAGGGAGAAGCATCGATGTGAGAGAAACATTGATCACCTGTCTCCTGCACGCCCCCTATGGGGGATCAAGCCCACAACTCGACATGTGCTCTGACCAGAAACTGAATAGGCAACCTTTCAGTGTAAGGGACGATGCCCAACCAACTGAGCCACACCGGCCAGGGCCAATAAAGGTATCTTCATAACTTTGAGTCATCACTATGAACATGTATTACTAAACTACGACACAGTAAAGAGACTATAGGATTTTCAGTGGCCTGTTTCTTAGGATCTGAGTCTGAGAGTTCTTACACTGCACTTGAGCTTCCCCATGTCCTCTCTCACTGTCATGGCAGTGTGGCTGCATCCACCTCTCCCTACAGGGCCTTCTCTTTTTCTAATGTTTGCTTCTGATGCGCTGTGTTCTTGTGAAGTAGACGTCCTAAGAATTGTGTGCAAAGTAAGAGTAAACAGGATTGGAGCGATGGGCCAGCAGATGTCCTGGGCATGGTATGCTTTATTATGAGTTTTGTAACATTAGTTTTGGCTGCTCAGAATTAATTTTTTTTATGACTTCCAGGATCTTAGCAATGTTCCAGATTTTTAAGATAGCTGAGTTCCAAACAGCTGAAGTGTTGAATGATTACATTAAAATATATACAAACACACATGCATTTTTAATTATTGTGATAATTTTCCAGGGAAAATTAAAAAAATATAAACCATATGAAAAATAAAAATCTCTCACAAGGCTATTACCCCTCAAATAACCACTGTTAATTTTGAATATTTTCCTTCCAAACTTTGATTTTATGTGTGTGTTTAATTTTAAAAGACCAAACAAACCTGAAGTTGTGTTTGTGGTAGGGATATAGAATTCTGTAGTCTGCTGTTGGATGTTATTAAAATCTCTTGGTAAACAATTCTAAATGGTTGTTCCATTGACTAGAATATTATAATTTGCTTAATCATTCCCTTAGTTTTATAGATTAAGGGTATTTCTAAAATCTTACTCTTAAGAAACTGCTGTGAGCCTAGGGCAGGGTGGGGGCGGGCTAGAAGGGGTCAATGGGGGAAATAAGGGGACATATGTAACACTTTCAACAATGAAGATCTAAAATGTTAACCAAAATAAATTTAAAAAAGAAACTGCTGTGAGCATCTCTGTATAAAAACACAAAGCATACATTTTTAAAAAAATTTGATTTTCATATTTAATAGGTGTCCAGAAGAAACCTTCACTTCACATTTCAGTGGAAGCTAAATTTGTACGAGAAAGAAAAGGAGTATTTCATCTCTAGTATTGCCTAAAAAGGTAAAAGGTAGCAATTAAAAAAGGCAAATAATAGATCAAAAAAGAAGGCCCAGAAGGTTTCAAAATTCCTTTTGTCTGATTACAGTCTGGCTTTGTGATTATTTCATCTAGATGGAAGAAGAGGTCAAAAGACATAGATTTCCTAATTACATGACCAGTTTTTAAAGACCGCTGACA